TGGGGGTGGCACTGGGGTGGCACTGGGACACATCCCTCGGGGTGGCACTGGGGTGGCATCGAGGTGGCACTGGGTCACATCAATTGGGGTGGCACTGGGGTGGCATCGAGGTGACACTGGGGGTGGCACTGGGATGGCACTGGGGTGGCACTGGGGTAGCACTGGGTCACATCCCTCGGGGTGGCACTGGGGTGGCACTGGGGTGGCATCGAGGTGGCACTGGGTCACATCAATCGGGGTGGCACTGGGGTGGCACTGGGGTGACACTGGGGGTGGCACTGGGATGGCACTGGGATGTCACTGGGGATGGCACTGGGTCACATCCCTCGGGGTGGCACCGGGGTGGCACTGGGGTGGCACTGGGATGTCACTGGGGTGGCACTGGAGGTGGCACTGGGGTGGCACTGGGAGTGGCACTGGGTCACATCCCTCGGGGTGGCACTGGGGATGGCACTGGGATGTCACTGGGGGTGGCACTGGGGTGGCACTGGGATCACTGGGATCACTGGGAGCAACTGGTTCCTCTTCCCATGCTCACTGGGATCAGCAATGTCCAGCTCCTTTTCCCATCACATTTTCCCTGGAATTCCAGCTCAAATTGGGACCTTTCCCGGCTGTTTTATCCAACTCAAAACCACACATTATTTTTATTTTTCTGCTCCGAGTTTCCTGATGTCTGCAGGGACTTGGGAACTGTCCCAAGCAGGAGCAAAGCTGCTTYTTTTTTTTTTTTTTTCCCAAGGGTCAAACTGTCCAGCCAAAAAATCCTTGGAATTTAAACAATGGGAGCCCTGTGCTGTTGGGGTGGATTCCCACAAAATTTGCGGTGTCCTGGGGGAGCAGCACGTGGGGCTGATCCCAAAGCAGTCCCAAAAATCCTTGGGAGAACATCCCAGGATTTGGGTGGGATGTGATGTTGAGGTCAGGGCTGAGCCTCCTTCACAGCTTTTTTGGGAAAAAAAGAATTCCCGGGGCGTGCAGGAGGAGGGATTTGGAGTTCTGGGCTTGTGTGGTGTCTGGCAGCAATTCCCAACGGAAATTTGGAATTTTAACGGGTTGGGTTCTGCTGGGAA